CTCTCCCAGTGCACAGCTACTCCCAATTTGCATTCATAATCCATATATCATATACATAATATTTTTGCCATTATCGCATCACAATCGAATCTCTAGGCGTTGGCATTGGACAGGTGATATCCATATCGCTGGTAACCACCTACTACGTCGGCATAATGGGCATAACACTTAACTATTTCTACGATTCGTTTCGTAATCCGTTGCCCTGGTCCGAGTGCCAGGCCGAATGGGGTGCGCTCTGCGTGGCCTCCAGCCAGGGCAACATCAGCTCCAGCGCCATTTCCAGCTTTGGCGGTAACTCCAGCTTAAATATGATTGCACCGCAACGGCAGCGCGTTGCATCCGCCGAGCTGTATTTTCTGTAAGTGGCTTTTCTACCTTTGTGGTGTTGTTGTAGTACTAGTACTAGTTGTTATACCTTGTTGTTGTTGTGGCTGTTGCTGTGGGTTGTTGGCTTTTATCAGCATTTTCGGGTAAGCTTATCACAGAGGGCACACACTCTGGCATTCAATGCCAGATTCAAGTTTATGGCCGTTCAATGCTCGCTTTATTGACGTTAATTGAATGAGTCCCTACTATAACACCCGAGTTGTTCCCCTCTGTGGCGCCTAAATTGACAGCAATTAACGGTATTGGAGGTTAGGATGCTGCAATAGCCCCTAGACGATTGCAACAGCCAAATGATAGCCGACATGTTGCAAGGCCAGTTCAATTAGCTGTCTAACAGCTGAGACAAGAGACCGGGGACTCTCGTATGTGAATCAACAACTTTCGAATGCAAATCAAATTACAATCTGAATATTGATTGCAGATATATGTTGTATTGATTTAGATGTATTGTATATCAGATATTTATAATCAGATATTGGATATCAGATATGAGATATTAGATTAGATATATTAGATATTAGACATTAGAAATCAAATATTGGATATAATATTATATATGGTATATGACATATTAGATATGAGATATAAGATATGAGATATGAGATTTGGGATATAAGATATGAGATATGAGATATGAGATATAAGATATTAGATATGAGATATGAGATATGGGATATGGGATATGAGATATAAGATATGAAATATGAGATATGAGATATGAGATAGGAGATATGAGATATGAGATAGGGGATATGAGACATCAGATATTATATATGTATTATACGAGTATATTAGATACTAGATATACTTAGTTTAACACAATATTATGTAGATCAATACTCTTTCTCTGCGGCGCCTTTATTCATTAGGGAGTTGACAAAATTTTAATAAGGACCCATTTATATGGGATATCAGAGTATATACGTTTTATAAGAAATAGAAGCTATGAAAATGAATTCAATTATTAGGCAAATCCGCCTTAACGAACAGCAACATAAAAGTTTTCGTAGTATACATAAGTATGTATAAGTTTTGTGTTTCTTTACTATTCAAAAGGAAGGTTTTTAGCACTTCACAAAGTTCCGGGTATCTCCGAAAAGGGCGGGCGCTCCCAACTAAATTCTGTATTACTTATATAAGCTTCCACTGGATCCGATATATTTTTAACTTTTAATTGAATTAATCGTAAGCTAACGCTTAATCTTATATTATTAAGATATGCTGATGAGCTCTTTAACCTAAGCGCTAAGAGAATTTAGTAACTTTCTTTGTAACTCAACTAATATCTACATTTATCGCAACCATATCATCAAATCATAATCATAATAACTAACTAACCTAACCTTTGGCACCTATCTAAATTGTGATTAACTCTTTCCAATAAATATATATATATCATCATTAAGGTGTTGGCATCGGCCAGGGATTCCAGGTGTTCATGCTAAGCACTTACTACGCCTCACTGGTTGCCATATTTTGTCGATATTTCGTCGATTCGTTCCACAGTCCGTTGCCATGGGCAACGTGCCGTGACGAATGGGGCACGAACTGTATCAATGCAGCGCCCAGCGACCCAATCGATGAACAAAATGGGATACTAAATAATACAGATCGCATTATATCTAGCTCGGAGCTGTACTATATGTAAGTGCTTCGGGTTTAGCTGTGGGCATAAGTCTTCCGAGGGGTGTTGGCCATGCATGACATTTTTCCGTAGTTTCTCAAGCTCCAAACTCTAATGTGATTTCCCATTGAATTCCCTAGCAAGGAGGTGCTACGTGAGAAGGACCAGATAGCGGATGGCATTGGCCTGCCCAACTGGGAGCTGGTCATTGGCCTCTTCGTGTCGTGGATGTGCGTCTTTCTGATCATACGACGCGGCGTGAAGAGCTCCGGCAAGGCGTCCTACTTCCTGGCCATCTTTCCGTACGTCATCATGGGCGTCCTGCTGATACGCGCCGTCACCCTGCCCGGCTCGCTGGACGGCATCTACTACTTCATCAAGCCCGATTGGAACAAGATCCTGGATCCGAAGGTGTGGTACGCGGCGGTCACCCAATGCTTCTACTCGCTGTCCGTCTGCTTTGGCAACATCATCATGTACGCGTCGTTCAACAAGTTCGGCCACAATGTGCACCGGGATGCGACCATTGTGACCGCCTTGGACACGGCCACCTCGCTCCTGGCGGGCTTCACGATCTTTGGCATTCTGGGCCATTTGGCCCACGAAATTGGCACCGAGGATATTGGCAAGGTGGTCCGAGGTGGCGCCGGCTTGGCCTTCATTTCCTATCCGGATGCGATAGCCAAGTTCAAGCAGCTGCCGCAAATCTTCTCCGTGCTCTTCTTCCTGATGCTCTTCGTGCTGGGCATCGGGTCGAACATAGCGATGACATCCTGTACAGTCACGGCCATACGCGATCGCTTTCCCAACTTCAAGCAGTGGCAATGCTCGCTGCTCATAGCCGTCGTCAGCTTTGTCATTGGACTGATGTACATAACACCGGTAAGATAGGGGATTTATATATATTAATTTTTCTATATATTCATTTTGTATTTATAGCTTTTTTACATCTAAACTAATTTTCAATATACAGCCGAGTCTCGATAATTTGCACCCGGCTATATCGAAAATCGTGATAAATCGATAACAAATTCTATCCTCTTGAAAAAATTCGTTCTCGATAATTCTCGATAATTACTAATTCTGAATAATTCGAGACTTTACTGCATTTATATTTTATAAATTAAAATTTAATTATATATTTTTCTATAAATTCATTTTCGAGACATAAATTTCGTAAATATTCAATTTATTTATTTTATATATTTATTTTTTATATATAAATTTTCTATGTATTATATAAATATATATTTTTTATTTTGATCAATACATTTTCTACAGGGCGGTCAGTATATGCTCACATTAGTGGACTTCTTTGGCGCTTCAATGATCGCCTTGGTGCTGGGCATTGCGGAGCTCTATACGATTGGCTGGATCTATGGCACGGATCGTTTGTGCAAGGACATTGAGTTCATGCTGGGCAGAAAGGTTGGACTCTATTGGCGGCTGTGCTGGAGCATCTTTACTCCACTCATTATGACCATCATTCTGATCTACTTCTATGCGACCTATGAGCCGCTCATCTACAACAATCAACCGTTTCCAGCCTGGGCTTATGGTATGTCCAAAGATAATTACCACACACATTAATATTCAACACGTCATCATCTCTTTCCTTGCCCAGGCATTGGCTGGTCCATCACAGCCTTTGGCGTTATGCAGCTGCCGCTTTGGATGCTCGTCGCCATCATTCGGGAGCCTGGCAATACGCTGGGCGAGAAGATCTGCGGCGCCTTCAGGCCCAAAAAGAACTGGGGACCCACCGATCCGCTGCTGCGGGAGCAGTACAATAAGCAAATCGAGCACGAGCTAATGCCCAAACGGGGACAAGGCTTCTGGGCCAGCATTAAGCAAAATATCTTTGGCTGAGTTTCAGATCTCTGAAGATGTTTACTTTAAGATGTGTGTATATAGTATTTTATATATTTTATTTGTAAGTGTGCGAATTAAATGTGACGAATTTATAAAAAAAAAAAAACATTTATAATTTTAATATACATTTTTATTAATATACATATGCTTAGACCTCATTTTAAATATAAATTTCTTTGAATATAATTTTTCTTTAATTTATTATATTGAAAAATTAAAAAAGAAAAACTCCAGGGAAATACTTAAGTACCATAGAAAAAACTTGCTCGCCTATAACATTATTACTATTAACTATAATTAAAATAATATTTAAATTATTCCATTCTTCTTTAAAGAAATGCCCCATTTTCAAATCTCTCTTATCAAATATTATCTCATGCTCAGACCTGAGTTCGTAATATTAATATAAGTTTGACTAGATAACAGTCAAACTTATATTAATCTTACGAACTCAGTTAGGTCTTCAGTTTTCTGCTCTAATCAGCTGCGTTTTATTTGGACCTCAAGTATTTTTAGTAGCTTCGAGACACCTCGCTCCCCACCCCCTGGACATTTTTACACTTCTCGCTGCTGGCCACAAATTGACCATCACATTGACAATTTGGAATTTGGGCGAGAGAATGAAAATCAAGAGAAATGTTGTGTACTTTGTCTCCGTTACGTTTTCCAACTGGCAAAACAAAGACCGTGGAAAGCCAAAATACTTTGCAGCGGACGACGCCATCTTAGAGATAATTGCTTTGATAAGGACACGCCGGACTCGGAACCGGACCCGGACCCGGACACGGACACGGGCGCCAGCACCGATGGGGAGCTGAACATTTTTTGTTGTGATTTTTCTTCTTTTTTTTTTTTTATAAATGTCGCCAAATATTTACATGTCGCGGCATTGTCAAGCGAACCGAACTTTTGTTTTTTTTTTCTTTCATTTTTCTTCTTCTTTTTTTCTTGTTTTATTTGGTGGCCTCTATGCGCCCGCATTTGGCTTGCGGCTTGACTTTTTGCGACTGTCCGGCTTCCTGGCTGGGGCGTCGAACGAGCGAGCGCCCGAGTCCGGGATTCCGGATGGCGGCCGTGTTGCTGCAAAACCGCATAAAAGTCATTGTCACAGCAAATGGATTAATTTTCGCGGCACGTTGTCATATATATGTCGCACTCGCTCGCTCCCACACACTCACTCCCGCTCTCAGTCTGGCTCCCTCTCTCGCTTGTAATTTTTATAAAGAAATTAAAAAGCATGGCCTGTGGTTACGAGTGGGTGGAAGAGGGACAGCAACAGTGGTTAGAGCAGGGTGGGAGAGAGAAACATGGGAGAGAGAGTCTGGTGCATGGGCGGCGGCAGGTACTGGAGCCGCGCGGGCGTGGCATTTACCGCAACAATAATTACGTTTCGGGCAGTGCTATTCTTTTTTTTCTCTTTTTTGGGAAGCTGCACGGAAGTGTATAATGTTGCTAAGTAGTTGCGGTTATATCTTGTTGCTGTTGTTGTTTTTTATTGTGTTTGGCTGCGTAATTATCATGAAAGGCAACAGGAGGTTTATTTCGCGTAATAAATACAACATAATTAAGTTTTTTTTTTTTTTTGTTGGCGTCCTGCTGGGGAAGTGAAACAAAAGGAAACATTCGCTTAGTCTGTTTTCCTTTCTTTTCGTTTTATATTTATATACAAATATTTTGTTGTTTATGTAAAATTAGATAAAGCATATTGTTTCTTTTTGTGCACATTAAAGAAAATACAAATTTTTATTAGGGAACAATTCTGATTTGCTTTTATATGATACGATATCATAGCATACTTTTTGGGACTACTAAAAAAAAAGGAGAGCGAATTAAGAAAAATGAAATAGGTAGATATAATTATACTTTTAATTTATAAGAATAATTTTTAAAAATTGAATAAATATAAGAAATCATATATACTACATTATTTTT